TTTTTTTTTTTTTTTTTTTTTTTTTTTTGTGACCTTGTATTCTTTCATATTATTATTTTTTCAATGAAAATTCAATATTTAACTAAAAATAACCTTGTGTCAAAGGGATATCTCAGAAATGGATGGGCTTACCGGACCAAGGTATTTGATGCATTGTTGATGAAGCCTATGTCTTGGACATCTCTCAAGGTTCACCTCTTTCCCTTCTCCTATATCAAGCCTAATATAAAGAGGATTGTTAGAGTTAATAATATTTATTTTCATTTGTTAAGCATATTTAGATATAAATTTATCTAACCAATAGAAGAAGGGCTGTTTGCTATCACAATGAAGCCATTTGACGTAGTAAAACTGAAGATTATGACCATACCGATGCCTAGGATCGATCTGATTATGAGAAAGAAACACTGTCACGAAAAAGAAAACCGTGAAGTCTGATTTAAACAATGTCGAGAGTGGACTTACTGCCTCGAGCCAGTGCTGCAAAGCAAGTTTTCTGGCTTTTTCATCCTTTGACAAACCTTTTCCTACCTACGGAGGATTTTTGGGTTAAGAGTGCAGATAAAAGATCGAATATATTCGAAGTTAAAAGATTTTATTAGAACCAAAGCGCCAAACAATGTTTCTAACTTCACAGTTCTTAGTTACCTTGGCTGCCCGGGTTCTGGCCCTCGACCACCGTGAAATCGCTGTCTCTGGTTTTTCAATATCAAAAAATGATATTGAACTTCTCTTGAGTTCAGCAAAATCCAACAGCTTCCACCTATTAAGTGATGATTTAGGACAAGAAAACTCCAAATCTTTACCTCTCCTGCTCTTGAAAGGGTAGATTGACATGAACATGCTTAAAATTTTGAAGAGAGTACAAACGAATATGGACACAAACCATCTCTGCTCCACAAGCACAGCACAATCTGCTAACTGTCTCCTTGTCCTAAAGCTCTTGTACACTTTCTGTAGCTTCACTGCAGCATTATAGTGTTCATGCCTGGGCGCTTCGGAATATCTCGGTGTCGAGTAACTTTGACCTGAATTCCGAGGCGTCATAAACTGATCATAATTCTTAGGCCCAACTGTTGATCTCCCAAACTCACTGTTTTCCATCTCTGCAGATGGAGTTTTGAATGAGAAAACAGTCTCCAATTCCCTTGTTCTAGTGGCAATTGGTCGTTCAAATCTCATGCGGTGAGAATTGTAGGATTTGCCTGCCGCTGGCTCTGAATCTCTTCCATTGAAACTAACAGACCGCAATGGATTCCTCATCTCTCCATCTTGAAAACTAATAGATCTAACAAGAACAGCATCGAAATCCAAATCTTCTAAATCCCCCAAAGGACATGAAAATAATTGTCCCATTCTTTTTTTCCTTTTTTTTTTTTGTTTTTTTTTGTTTTTTGTTTTTTTTGTTTTTTTAGTATCCAAAATTTCTCACTTTTATCCCAAATCACCAAACAAACCAATAGGGTCTCGATTTCCTGATCATCAACAAGAAAACAAACCAAATCAAAATATTGTTAGAACCGGACATTTTCTCAAGCTGTCCATAATTTCATCTATCATAGATAGCTCAAACAAAACAAAACCAAATCAAAATATAAATTTTACTCAAAAAGTTGAAGGTTAAATACAAATTTCCATCTAATGATCCAATTTCTCTTAGATTCATCCTAAACAAAACAAAACAATTTCTATCTTCAACCTCCAAAAAGGGTCCCAAAATAAGACATTAATTACTATCTCAAATGTGAATGTTTCGAGCAGGAAAAATAGTAACAAAGTTCTTCATACACATTTCCTCAAGTTTTGTCCATAACTTCATCTGTTCACATTGGAAAATAATTTTTTTGTGGAACATCCTAATTCGTTTTGGACAAACCTAAACAAAGCCAACATTTTTGTTCTCAAAATTCAGAATGAGCAATAAAGGTCTAAGAAATTGGAACCAAAAATAAAAAATAAAAAAATAAAAGAGAGAGAGAGAGAGAGAAGAGAAAGGAATTGATGGAGAATGGAATGTATTCTAACCTGAATGCGAGACAATGAGGAAAACCGGAGAGGAGAATAGTTTAAGGCGAAGGAAAGATGAGAAAGTGAAGAGAGAAGAAATTCAGAGCGAACGAAAATTAGCCAAATGGGGGTTTCACGAAGAAGAAGAGGGTTGGTATCAATGAGAGACAGTCCGTACATTGTGGGCTTTGCCTCTTCACAAAGGATGCTATTGGTGGGTTTCCGCCCCTTGCCTCACTCACAAATCTTCCATTCTTGGACCTTACTATAAATAGATTTTGGAGGGAGAGAGAAACAAATCCTAGCATATCATTGCCAGCCATGAATTTACTTCAACACAGGCCTTTTACTTTATTTATTTATTTATTTATTTTGTGTTTAGTAAGAATTTGATATATTCAACTTATTTCAAATTTTACTGTGAATTTTTAAAAATAGTTTATTAATCATTTGGTTCTATATTTTTAGTTTTTATTAATTATTTGTAAACATATAACTTATTTTTAGAAGCTTTTCTCCCTTACGAGTACAAAAGTTATGGAGATGATTCAGGGGGAAACTTATCCATCTATAAGGATAGTACAAACAGTATGTAATCTTATTTTGTATGAGTTACATGTATATTTAAAAAAAAAACGTTCATCTTGTGTTTGCTAAATATTTTTTTTAGTTCAATAATACGAGATTAGTAACACAACCTATGTGGGAAGAAACACATGAGATGTACTGGCTGCAAGAAATAATATGAGTGCATCTCATCTCGGTCATCGTGATTCTCATCAACACGGCTCACACTTTGTGATGTCATCATAAGTCTAGGGATTGTTTCCACTAATGTTCAACCGATCTTTGTGATGTCATCATAAGTCTAGGGATTGTTTCCACTAAGGTCTAAACACCTTCGTTGCTCGTGTAGACACACTTGTCGAGAATCGACCTATGAGTCAATTTTATCGTCAACACCTCATACACGAGGCATTGTACCACTTATTACTCATTCCTATGCCGACAAAGACAAAATCAGGTAGTTTCTAAGCTAAATGTCTTTCAATTGATTGTTTCCACTAATGTTCAACCGATCTTTCTTCTTATTTAGAAACACTCACTAATGTTCAACCGATCTTTCTTCTTATTTAGAAACATCCAAGATTATAGATTGATGTTATGCTATATCTATCTAGGGAGTTTTCTACCTTTGAAGAACAAGGTACGTAGTCTTTAATTCTTGAGAATATCTGTATGGTCTCAAACAATCCTCTTATGCATGGTAACTTCTCATCTACTAACTCTTGGTTTTATTGCTTTTATTGTTGATTCGTCATTTTTTGTCCATTCTATTTGTTCTCCCTTAACTTTTCATCTACTTTCCGTGGATGATATCATTGTTTTAAAAGTTAGTTAAATTGGTTCTCAATCCTCAATAAAGGCCGAGTATCACTCTTTTGCTATTGGTATTGTCGACTTAAATCAATTAACGTGCTTTATGTGATCTTCATATCTTCTTAAATTTGTGGTGTGACAATGTATCTATCACTTCTAGTTAGCAATCAAGTTTTTTCTTTTTATGCTTTTACAAATATGTAATAAAATCTTTATCATTTTGTACTAAAAAAAAATTGTACCAAATATAATATAATATAATATGTATCTCTTGACTTGTTTCCTAAAGTACTACATGAGAATGTGTTAAAACTAATAGTATGTTGTAACTGGTTAGATTGTAGCAGATTAAAACGTAGAATTTAGAAAGAAAAAAAGTTAGAATCACTATAAAAATAAACAAACCTTTTGGGTCAAGGATGATTGATGTTTACGACTCTTGACTTAACTAAAAAATAGTTTGCTAATTTTCTCTAACGACCTATTTTGTGACCAAACAAACTTACTATAGAAAGCTCGACCCTAATGGTCTACAAATCTCTGGAAGATCTATGATTTGGTAGTGGAGGCCGGTGTACATACTTTAATGTTGGACCCTATCATCTACAATATCATTTTAGTTTTATAATTGATTTATCTAAATGAAGTAATAAATGCTAAATTAAATATAAGATGTTAATGAAAAATAAAATTAAAAAAAGGAAAAAAATATGCAAAAATATTTTAGATTTATTTGAATTTTGTAAAAATCAAATAATTTATTAAATAGAAAATTAAATTTTGTCTGGTAATTTTAAAAAATAAACATAAAATTAAAATGGGAAGATATTATTAAATACAAATTAAAAAAAAAAAAAAGTTTATCAACTACGAAAATCTAAAAATTCAACCACTAACTTAAGAACTTAAAATGGATTAATTCAAGTATTTAACCATAAATTAAATATTTTAGTAAAAAAAAAAGAATATATATATATTAGGAAAAAGAAAAACCCAACTCGGCGGTGCCAGTTGGGTCCAATTCTCATTCCGTCGATTGTTAGATTTTTCCACTAACAATGGCGACAGCTACGTATCCGCCACCACCCCCGTATTACAGGCTCTACAAAGATTACTCCCAGAATCCGAAATCGGCACCGGAGCCTCCTCCGCCGATCGAAGGGACCTACGTGTGCTTTGGTAGCAACTACACTGTAAGATTTACTCTCGATTCCTTCTTCATCTCTCTGAATGCATCTTGAAATGTCATTTATATGTGAAGATTCGAATTTGATTTCACATTTTTGTTGAATTCTTTTGGCTGTTGGAGTCTTGTCGAACTTTTCATTTTTAAATAGATAAGATTTTTTAAGAACGTATGCTAAGAATGGTTTTAGGGTTTTTAGTTCCGAGGTTGTTCGTCTCTGCTTCCGAAATCTTTCATAATCTCCGTTCAGTGTGGACATTTTCGAGTTAGATTCTTTATTTGATTTGATCGAACTGATAGTTTAAACAGTGTCATGATAATCACTGTGATTTTGTTCCTTTTTCCTGATTGTTCTGTTGTGATTTTAGACCGATGATGTGCTTCCAAGCTTGGAAGAGCAAGGAGTGCGCCAGCTTTACCCTAGAGGACCAAATGTTGGTAAGTAGATTTAGTTAGTTACCAGTGTTCCCAAATTTGGGTCAGAATTTGTTCTCCATCAGTTGTTTTTCTATTTGATAAGAATCGCTATTATCCTCTCAAGGCAAATTTTATGCTCAAGTAATTATTCGTTTGATTTCTTAGATCTGTGATGGTCTCTGTTTTGGTTCGGGGTAAGAATAATGCATGTATTGGTAGCCTCCAAGGGGCAGCACCATTGGCTAAGGCTCACGGTCTCTAAGTACACTTACTCAAAGTCACATGTTTGAATCTCTGGGGTAGATTTTTAAGGAAAACTCTGATGTCTTCAGAGTTTGGGCCTTGGGGCTGGCGTGGATGCCAAAGGGAAGTGGGGTTTTATAATCCATCCCCAAGAATAGGTAAAAGAAGATTTGATGAAATTACACACACATGAAACGAGCTAACCGCTTTTGGTCCCAAATCTTTGGGGTTGCTTTTGACACTGACATGTGTACACTCGCACGTGCCCATGTAGATCTCTTCCTGTCGTCATTTTTAACCACGAAAACTTGGCTTTGCAATTGAAACTAGGACTGCAGTCTTCAGGCAACTCGTATTTAAGAAAAAAAATAATCTTCCATCCTTTGGGGCGTACTCTAAAAGAAGTCAAACCTATTGCAAATATTTCTCCTAAGCTCTGAGCACCGAGTGTCATTGCTTTAAAGTCCTGTTAAAAGAAGAATACAAATGTTTGGGACATTCCTATTTCTATTGTCGTGGAAGAAACGAATCAAATTCCTGTTCGTGAAAACATTTGAAAATGTATTTAAAGACATGAAAATGTGTAGTGGTAGTGGCTGTCATGTTCTTAATAGATTCCTCCTGTACGGTGTAAACAAAAGAGTCTCTCTACCTGCCACTTGCTCGATGAACTTGATTTTTGATTGCTTGGAGCAACACTCTCCCCTGCAGCCCTCCCTCCCAAGTAAAATCTTTTACCTGACATTATTATTGGTGGTTCTTCCTCAGATTTTAAGAAGGAATTGAGATCTCTCAATAGGGAACTTCAGCTTCACATCCTGGAGCTCGCCGATATTCTTGTTGAGAGGCCATCACAATACGCAAGGAGGGTAGAAGAAATATCCCTAATATTCAAAAACTTACACCACCTGCTTAATTCATTGCGTCCGCATCAGGTGGTTTAGTTTTACACATTTAAACTGGACATATCGTATCGTCGAAATTATCTAATTGTCAGGTCTATCTTCCCTTGTAGGCTAGAGCTACACTCATTCATATACTAGAACTTCAGATAGAGCGTCGGAGACAAGCTGTCGAGGATATAAAAAGGTATGTTGGTTCTGATCGATTATATTCATGTATGAATGTGTAATAACTTGTGCAATCAGCTACCCTTTCGTCACACGCCTTTTTTGGATTGAATGTCGTACTTAGGATTTCTTGTCCCTATATCCATAATCATCGTTTTGTTTTATCTTATTCTTGGTGGTTGAGACAAGGATGTGTTCTTATAAAATTTTCAGCCCATAATTCATCGTTCAAGGCTTGCTTCTGTTCTGGCTGATAACTTCTGCATCATCTCACTGATTATTTGCTACCTTTTAAAACACGTTTTGGCATAATTTTCTTGTCTAGGAGGAGAGAAGAAGCACAAAGACTACTCATGGAGTCCCTTGAAACTTTGGATGGACACTAGTCTTGTCCATGCGAATAGGTTTTGCATTCAAGATCTTTATATCCATAGTGCAGCCTCGAATGCATCGGTTCGGTCAGTTGTAATGCTTGGCTTCTACATCGACCATGCACGTAGGCTACGAATATTTGTCAATTTGTTCAAGATCTTGAAGGGGACGCCCTCTCCTGCTGTGAATACTTGAGCAGATTTGTTAATGTGTAGATTGATGGAACTACTTTGTAAACTTCGATTTACGGGTTCGGTATGGTGACTGCGAACTTACTTGAAATAGGTCGAGGTTGTATGACGGTGTCCTTGAATTCTAAGGTTATGCATAGTGTGAGTATGAGATTGAAAGAGATTAATGCTATTGCTTCTCTGGCCTCTAAAAGCATGTTTAAGCTCCAACTCTATGCAAAATATTACGTTAGTTATGGTTATCTTTTTTAAGTATGATCTGAATTTAACATATTATGTTTTAAATTCCATATTAGGAATAAATAAATATGGAAAAATTAAATCGAAAAACAATTCTAAATTATTTTACAATTTTAATATGTGACCCGGAAAAAATAATAAATTATTATTGTGAATGCCTTTTCTAAAATTTATATGGTAATAATTATTAATTAGATATAAGTGTGTTCTCAATGTCGTCCTCTATGGTCACATGTGGGATCTCACAATCCACCTTTCTTGGAGGCTAGTGTCCTCGTAGGCACATCATGTGGGATCTCACAATCCACCTTTCTTGGAGGCTAGTGTCCTCGTAGGCACATTGTTTAGTATCTGGGTTTGATACCATTTATAACAGTCAAAGTCCACCGTTAACAGATATTGTCTGTTTTGGCTCATTACATATTGTCGTTAAAGTCTCACAGTTTTAAAACATGTCTGTTAGGGAAAAGTTTTCACACCCTTATAAAGAGTGATCCGTTTCCATCTCACACTCATGTTCCATTGCCCTTTGGTCTAGTATCGTGTTCTAGGAGAAAAATTCCTTACCACTTTGGTTGGGAGGTGACACTTAGTTTAATTCGTACCTACCTACTTGTTCTAATCCTCGTAACTTCACCACACCCTGTCTCTATCAAAACTCTTCCGGTAAGTTTCTTGGAAAAAAAAATGATATTCATAACTAAATAAGTTTGTAACCCAACCTAAATCGTATAGGTTAAGTCGAGTAATCATTCCAATAAAAAAAAAAAAAAAAAAAAAACATTTAGGGAGAGGCATTCAATGAGGCACAGCAGGGAAGGAGGAGTAGAGAAGGTGAAGTAGCTTTCTTTCACTCTCAATACCTCAATAGGGTCAAAAAGCATTCAATTCAAAAAGTGGTTTTGCAATAAGCAGTAATAAACAGGTCGGCAAACTTCGTTGGACTCTATTTATTATTCATTTTCACTTCCTTTCTGCTACATTCATTTCCATTTTTAGAGTTTTATAGGAAATGAGCATGGATCAACTCGTTATAACTCATAATTATTGGCCATGTTTTAGAGTCGTCCGGAACGATCAAGATTGAGACTATCAATTTTTACAACTTTATAGGAAATGAGCTCGAGCACATACTCATTGTAGTTTGTTATTATTGGCCATGTTTTAGAGTTATTGGAAACGATCGAGACTGAGACTATCAATTTTTACAACTTTATAGGAAATGAGTATCAATAAAGCTCGAGTATACCCATTGTAGTTCGTTATTATTGGCCATGTTTTAGAGTATACCCATTGTAGTCGGGAATGATAAATTGAGAAATACTTAAATTTCTTTTCATAACTTAGTTGTACGATAGAATTTAAAAAAAAAATCACGAAAAGATAAATATCTTTTAATTTATTTATTCCTCAAAATTGTGATTCTATAAAATATCTTGGTTGTTTTTTTGTTGCATCATATCACAAAATCCACTATAAATACATAACCAAAAGAAGTAGAATATCAAACTCCAAAAGGCAAAAGGCAAAATCAAAATGGTAGGTGGATTCAACTGTGGAGGATCATCATCAGCAGCAGCCATTGCTGAAGCTCTTAAGGTCAATGTGTATGGCGAGGGCATGGACACGCTCGTGTTGGCGCACGGGTTCGGCTTGGATCAAAGCGCTTGGCGCTACATGATTCCTTACCTTGCTTGCTTCTTCAAAGTGGTGGTTTTTGACTTGGTTTTCTCCCCAAATGTGAAGCCTGAGGTTTATGATGAGAGGAAGTACTCAAGTTTTGAGGGATATGCCAAAGATTTGGTGTGTGTTCTTGACCATCTCCATGTTGAAAGAAGCATTTATGTTGGACATTCAATGTCTGCTATGATTGGATGTGTTGCTGCAACCTATAGGCCTCAACTCTTTCAACATCTTATCTTGTTGAATGCCTCCCCAAGGTTCTCTAAAACTCCTCCTTTTGCTTTGTTATATAATGAAACGGTTTCTAAATCTCTCGATGTAATGACCCATGTCCACCGATAGCAGGTATTGTCGTCTTTCGTATTTCCCTTCTGGGCTTCCCATTAAGATTTTAAAACGCTCCTGCTAGTACAAGGATTTCACACCCTTATAAAGAATGTTTTGTTCCCCTCTCCAACCGAAGCATTTTTTATAAGGGCGTGGAAAACTTTCTCTAGTAAACGCGTTTTCATGAGGGAAAGTCAAGAAGGAAAAGTTCAAAGAGGATAGTATCTCTCGACGTAACAGCTCATGCCCACCACTAATAGGTATTGTCCTCTTTCGTATTTCCTTTCTGGATTTTCTATCAAATGTGTCTGCTGAGGAAAGGTTTCCACACTCTTATAAGAAATATTTTGTTCCCTCCAACCGACGTGGGATTGGTGTGGAGAACGAAGCATTCTTTATAAGGGTGTGGAAAACTTTCTCTAGTAAACGCGTTTTAAAATCTTGAGGGAAAGTCTAGAAGGAAAAGTCCAAAGAGGATAATATCTCTCGATGTAACGACTCATTCCCACCACTAGTAGGTGTCGTCCTCTTTCGTATTTCCCTTTTAGGCTTCCCATCAAAGTTCAAAAACGCGTTTGTTAGGGAGAGGTTTCCACACGCTTATAAGAAATGTTTCACTCCTTCCAATCGACGTGGGATTGGAGTGAGGAACGAAGCATGAGTGTAGAACACTCTCTCTAGCAAACGCGTTTTAAAACTTACAAGGGAAGCCCAAAAGGAAAAGTCCAAAGAAGACAATATCTACTAGAAACGGGCATGTTCTTTTATAAATCAATTTTTTTACGATTAGGTTATTTTACCGACATTCTTTTTACCATAGGTATCTCAACGGTGAAGGATACAATGGAGGCTTTGAAAGGCCAGTAGTTGATGCCATCTTCAACCAAATGGATAAAAACTTCACAAATTGGGTAAAAAACTTTGCTCCATTTGCAGTTTCCATAAACGATCCCAAAACAATAGCAGAGCTTGAGCATTCCTTGGGAAGAATGAAGCCTGAGATTGCCCTTAGTGTTGCAAAAATGGTGTTTTTAAGTGACTTAAGACAGCTTCTACCAAAAGTAAAGACTCCCACCACCATTATTCCTACAAGAAAAGACAACATTGTCCCAAAATTTGTTGCATTTTACATAAAATCAAAGGTGGGTTGCCATGCAAAAGTGAAGATTTTGAATTCTGATGGCCACTTCCCACAGCTAACAGCTTATCCTCAGCTTTTGAAAGTTTTGGCTCAAGTTCTTCACCTCCAACATAAGAATTCTACTGCTTGACCACTTGAAATGAAGATCATAAGCTTGTTATCCGTCGTGGTAGCTGATCGAACAAGGTATCTCCGTGGAGAATTTAGTCGAACTTTTCAAATTATTGTGTGTAGTGATTAGCGTTTTCGAGTGAAACGCTCAAATGAAGAACTATTTGACTGTGTTTTCTTATTACTTCAAATTAAAGAGCATGTTAAGAGACTGTAATGACTTCCACGTTGAATACAATCTTTATAGGTAACACTCCTACTCTTTATTAATATCAATCGATAAGAGATTATGATAAGACAATTCGAACCTACGCATGGAGAGCTCGCATTAGCCACTCAAACACGTCAACATTTGTAAGAAAGAATTATTTTTAATTTCATAAATGATGTAAAAGTCAAAGGGTCAATTTGACTTATTCTTTTGTGGAGATTAAAAGGGATCGGGAATAAATTCCGTCCACAAACGTCTCGAATAAATCCCGTCAACAAATGTCTTTTGTCGGGAGACTATAAGTACCCACAGTATGTTATGTAAAATTCAGATCGGTGGATGAATGTAATTCAGATCTCAAATTGAGACGTTTCCCTCAGAAATCCAAGTATCATATTTGTCATTTCTAAGTTTGAAGCAATTCTTGTGGTAGAATTGCACCCGAGCCATTCAATCAAGCGACTCAATTTAGAACAAGATTCCAAATCTTGCTCCTAGATATTCAATTTAATCTAATTCTAATTACTTTCATTATAGGGTTCTTGCTAAAACAAAAGCTTGGATTAGGTTGCCCTATCAGATTATAAGACAGTCTATAGAATGATAGCTTTACTTGAGACGGCTTGGAATGAAAATCTTGAAAGGGTGAAGGGATATTTATAACATAAACTAGACAATTTATTTCTATCGACTCGTACCTTTATCAATTGATATTCATAACCATTTGCACCGGTGGTACTCCTATAGTTCATTAATCGACGAAAAACGTGTATACATCTTGAAAACTTTTAAATGATTCTCGATCTAGTACAAGTACATACTGTCAACCAGTAATATTATGGAAGTATTGTAAGTACCAAATTTCGAGGGAATTTCTAGAGAGCATAACGTAAATAACCGGTGTGGAAAAACGTCCTTTTTTAATAGAAGAAATATAAATGATAAAGTAGAGATTCAATCATTAAACCAATATTCGTATGACAAAATAAGAATATAACCAATTTTGGGAAGAAGAATATTGAAGAGAATTTAAAAATAGCAAAGTTACAAATTTCTTTCTATAATTATCGGTCAATCATAATCGTCGATCTCCGTCTAACAAGTGGTCGTAAAAGAGCGTCCACGAGAAGCCATAGACCTGCGAAGTACTGAAACAAATCCGAGGGAAGTTTCTCGAACATAAAGGGCGTTCGAGGTAGAGGAGACAAAAGCCCCAAGGAAGATTGCAGAATTTGTCTCTGGAGGAAAAGGCTCCGTTCGATTTATCGGTTCTCTGATTCTCAGGTTTTCGCCTTCTTCTTCTCTTTGTTCTTGCTTTCTTTCAATATTTTCTCGATCGCAAATTTGATTTTATCGAGTTTGGATTCAAGAAATCTCTACTTTTTTTGTATTATTCCTTTTTATGCGAATTGTGTTTTCTATCTCTTTGATCACGTTTGAAGAACGATACCTGTGAAAAAGGCTACAACTATTGGCGAATTTACATATTTTTCGTTTACTATTTTTAGAGTAGTTATTCCTTTGAGGTTTTGTTTGATTTGAGAAGAACTCTTGTGAAAGAGAGTTTTGAGAAATCCTGTTTTTGTCTGTGTAGTTTCCTGGTGATATTTTGTTTCCTCCGATATCGATCTCATTCGTTCTGAAGAAATATTGGAGCAGTTGATGGAAGGAAGAGTTTATAAGTAATCTTTTTGTGACTAGTTTGTCGCTCGATCAATCTGTTATGTTTTTTGTAATTTAGTATCGCTATTGGTAAATTTTCTTACGCTGTTTTTGATTGATCTTCTAGTGGCATATTTTCGTGTTCTAAATAAATATTCGTCTTCTTGGAACGCTTGCCCGTGTTCAATTGACGCAAAAGAAAGAATATCTCGTTGTTTATTTCTTGTGAGTGATGACAGAAATCTGTGGTAGCATGCTGATTGATGTGCGTTAATGTTCGCAAATTTAGGCTATATGCATCTTGGTGTTTTTTATTTTTTTGTTTTTTTTTAACACCGTGATTTATTTTATTCCAATTGTTACAGGAAATTGAAAATGAGAGGTCGAAGTTACAGTTACAGTCCATCGCCACCAAGGAGTTATGGCAGGAGAAATCGAAGCCTTAGCCCAAGGGGTCATGGAGGCCGTGGAAGGGATCTGCCGACAAGTCTTTTGGTTCGGAACCTAAGGCATGACTGCAGGTTTGTGGCTGCATTTACACAATTATCTGTTGGTTCTTCAATTATGTTTTTGTTGAATTATAAAGAAATGATATCTTTTAAAAATATGTTCTCTGGTTGATCCAATTTTCAGCTTTCCGTACTTCTTTCTTTTTTTCTTTATTTTAATTGAAGTGTTTGTGTAATTTTCTTTGTTGGATTTTTCTCCATTCTCTTAAGCTTCAAGATAGATCAGAATTCTGTTTCAAAAAAAAGAAAAAATGGTTTGAAGGTAACAGTTTACCTTTCTTTTGAAAAGCATTTTATATTATATATTCCTTGGGTAGGTTATATTTTGTATTTTCCTTTTCAAAATGAGGTGGAAAAAACATTTCTGTCAGGAAAAAGAACAAAAGCCAACCATTCAAAGAATACTCTCGACCAAAAAAGGTTCCGAGTAATTGCACAATGGAGTTTCAGTTTTTGAGAATTTAAAGGGAAAAAGGATAATGTGTCTGCTTTTGTTCTATATTAACTTGATAAACTTCTTCATTCTTGCTCTTTTTTGCAGGCCAGAGGACCTACGTGGATTATTTGGGCGGTTTGGTCCTCTGAAGGACATCTACTTGCCACGAGATTATTATTCCGGGTAGGCATACTCTTGAAGATTGTGCTTTTTCTTTGTATGCATCTGGTGTGTATGCATGTAAGGGTTTGTCTTACAGTAGTTATATTCAAACTCATTTTTAGTCCTTTTATTTCATACGCATGTAGTCTTCATATTTATGAAAATATTTTCTAAATTGTTACTTCTATGGCTTGCTCCTTTGTTCAATTATTTGGTTTCCAAACAACATACAATCGGTTTATCGAGTTTGGTTGTTTTTATTGGAAGTGTTGAAGACTGTCACCAATGAAGTAATAAGATTATCTAGTGGAAGACAAGAAGCAAGTAATTTGGTTGTTGTGTTGAAGACTTTCAAGTAAGTTGTGATGACTTAATGTGTACATGAAGATTCGGTGGAAGGTGGGTTTGATTGAATACATAGAGAAGAAGTTCACAAGTCTTGAAGAATTTCATCTCAATTTTTTTCTTTGCCACGCAGAAGGTTAGCATGGTGACACTCATATTTGTTAGTGCTCTATGTTGTCTGTATACGTTTCTGTCACTCGCAATTTGTCTCTAGATTGATTGATGATTGTAATGATGCCCCTAGTCATCAAATTGTCAAACTTTGTATTAACATCCATTGTTAAACTTTGTATTTATGAACGGTATGTGATTGTGAGTGCAGAAAACCACGCGGCTTTGGGTTTGTTCAGTACATTGATCCTTCTGATGCTGCTGATGCAAAGTATGAATTAGATGGCCAAGTTCTATTGGGTCGTGAATTAACTGTTGTGTTCGCTGAGGAGAACAGGAAGAGACCTGAACAGATGAGAGCAAGAGACTCATCAAGGTTGCCATCTCTCTTGACTTCTCTGAACTCTCTTCAAATATCTTCAAAATTTTCCCTATAACTAATAGTGCTGTTCACATATGAAATTGTTATCAGTGGTCGGTCCTACAGTTACAGGCGTTCCCCGCTGCAATATTCTCAATCACCCCCCCATGGTCGAAAATATTCACCTAGTCCTGAATATTATTCCCCTGCTCGGTCTGGACGATATTCAAGGTGGGCAGTTATAATGTGTAGTATTTTTCAATAATGATCATTGGACCATTTAGGAAAAGAGAGGGTTGCGGGGTGGTTGATTCTAACCTTATTTATATGATACAGGTCAATCTCGCCTAGGGACCGAAGGTACAGGGAGCGATCCTACTCAAGGTCACCATATGATTCAAGGGACCGTGGCTATAGCCGAAGCAGGAGCCGGAGCCGGAGCTATAGCCGAAGCTATTCTAGGTGAGTAAAAAATACTTCCCCAAGTTACAAAGTGGGTTAAGCTTAGTTGGCTGAGTTTTCTAAAAACCCAGAAACTATTAAGGTAGAGAGATGTTGGGATTTCGGAAGTCTGTATATGATTTAGAAAATGGTTTGGTCTTTTCTGTTAGAGCCACTGATTTCATGTTCTTATTTTAAAATGTACGGACCATGTGGTGGTTTTCTCTATGTAGAATGGAACCTGAGAATTTTAGGCCCTTCTTTTTACCCCAAACGCTTCTCTCCAATTTTGTGTCTTACTTCTGGTCTAGTCCTCCAACGACTCGATCCATTCGATTAGGCACTTGTCATCTATTTTTGTTGTTGAATTCTTTGACAACACGAAAAAAAATCATCTCTCTGTAAATCAAAAGAAAGCTCTGTCCTCTCTCTTTCTATCCATCCAATGGGTGTATGGGCAGAGGTCTTTGGTGTCTCCTCGAGTCTATGCCTTTTTTAGTTCACGGTTTGATATCCTGGTGTTCTAGGTGTAGAGGAACTACACCATTCCAACTCGAACTATTGTGGCGATGATAGTGTAGGAGAGGTCTCGTGGAAAAAATAGCTAGCTAGCTGCCGGGGTGATGGATTGACTTCATTTGAATGTTAAGAGGATTGATCCATCCACTCCAAATGTTTGAACTCATCTTTTATATTTTTAGTACCTAACAAAGTTCTGATTTCATTTGAAAAACATTAAATTTTTACACGTGGATGTAAACGACGGCCCAGCGGCTGAAACATGTAAGTCAACGTAAATAAGAAAGAGGGTCCACCGGAATTAAAATTGTGGCAGAGAAAAAGCCAATGAAATGGTTACACGTGGATGTAAAATTAATACTATGGTTGGGAGTAAAAGGTAAATTCGGAAATCAGCCCATCA